TATTTCTAGGTACTTGCTAATTAAAACTAGGACTTCTGCCTTCAAACCAATTATCTCAAGAGTGTTAGCTGCTCTGGTAGCATAGTGGATTACGAGCTAAGCTGTTAACTGCAAGGTCAGCATTTCGAATCTACCAGCCACTCCATGTTAGAAAGATGAGGTTTCCCGCTCCCGTAAAGATTTACAGCCTTGGAAACTCTATACAGGGTCTCTAAGAGTTGGAATCAACTCCATAGCACCACCTTCTAGGAGGAAAACTCATTAACAACGTGCAATATGCAGATAATACAGCTTTGCTTGCTGAAAGTGAAAAAAAACACAAGTATTTACTGATGAAGATCAAGGATTACAGTCATCAATAAGAATTTCACATGATCATAAAGAAAAAAAAATCCTCACAATTGGACCAATACCTAACAAACATCATTATAAACAGAGAAGATTAATATTGTCAGAGATTTCATTTTACTTGGTTCCAAAAATCAAAGCCTATGGAATCAGCAATCAAGAAATCAAGTAACACAGGTCAAGAATCACTGCACAAACAGAAATTGTTACCTTTTTTTGTCCTGCCCATCATGTAAATCAAATGTCTAGGGACATTAGTCTTGCTCATATGATCTGAGAGTAAATAGACAAAGGCTCACAAAACAGACTAAATGCTTTAGAGAAAGGAAGACCGCTTAAGGGAAATAAGACCCAATATATCCAGACTACACTCCCAGCTAAGGTTACTCAAGGTATAAGTAGATTTGTGTTATCTTTCAGTAACCCAGAAATTAATTGGAACTTAATCCAACAGCATTTTAGGAGGTTGTGGAACAATATACACTTGTCTGGGGATATTCATCAGCTACATGCTCAAATTTATGATATAAGTAATTCTCAAAGTGAACACTGAGTGGCTACTCATTTGCTACCCATGCTAGAGAGTAAGATCCCCTAAGAACTGGATTGAACCTCAGCATAGTGATCCTGCTTGGTCACCTTAGAGCAGCAGGTGGTGGGCCGGCAACGTCGGGCGCATGGGGTCCCCAGCTGATCTCCTCTCTCCCTGCCTTCCTCGGATGGTGGCTGTTTATGCTGGACGTGTGGCCAGAGACGGGTAAGGATCACGTGGAACCTCGGCTACTTAAGACAGAGACATTGCCATGCTGCAATGAGTCTCAATGACTGTTAAGACTGAGGAATTCGCACTGACCACCTAAGACAGGCAGCGTCCCTTAAACAATCAATAAATAAGGAGGACTCAGATGCAGACAGTACAGACCCAGTCAGGAGGCCAAGCCCCTGTGGGCCCAAGCGTTGATGACCGTCCAAACCATAGGCTCTGAGGATCAGACTCTAGCCACCTAGTAGACATAGCAAACTGTCCCTCATCTGATTATTCAGTAATGCTTGTTAGTAATCTCATACATGAGCCCTGGATATCCACAGACAAATTTAAAAACCTTCCCTAAAAACCGAGACTGTAAATTCCAAAAAGCCAAGTCCCCCCCATCCAAAAAAAAAAAAGCTAAAGAGGATAGAGAGAAACACTGTAAACTGATGATATATGGCGGGGAGAATGATAAATGTAATGAAACAAGCTATATGAATGGTTGAATGTGAAGCTGATGATGTGCCCGATAAACTTTCACTCAATGCAAAATAAAAACATTTAATTAAAAAAAAAAAGAAATCAAGTAACATAGTGCACTGGGCAAATGTGCTGCAAAAGATCTCTTTAAAGTGTTCAAAAGTAAAAATATCACTTTGAGGACTAAGGTGTGCCTGATCCAAGTATGGATATTTTCAAAAGCCTCATATGCATGAGAAAGCTGGACAATGAAAAAGTAAATCTGGAGAATGATGAATTTGAGTTATGTCATTGGCAAGGATTGTCGAATATACCACAGACTGCCCGAAGAAAGAACCAATCTGTCTAGGAAGAAGTACAGCTAAAACACTCCTTAAAAGGGGAGGATGATGAGTGTTTCTGTGTATATCCCCTTCCCCCACCCCTACCCCCCAAAAAAGAAGGAATGGAAGTAAATACTTTAAATGATGATGCAAAGAAGAGACTGTAATCGTTGCAATGAAATGATGGTGTAAAGCCAATGTTCTCCAATGTAGATGATCACTCAGTTCACAATAAAAACTTTAAAAAATAACAAGGGGAGGATGGTGAGACTTCATCTTACATACTTTGGACATGTTTGTCCAGTCCCTGGAGAAGGACGTGTTTGGTACAGTAGAGGGTGACTGAAAAAGAGATGGATGGATCCAATGAGATGGACTGATACAGTGACTACAATAATGGGCTCAAACTTAGTGATGATTTGTCAAGATAGCGAAGGACCAAGTAACATTTCCTTCTGTTGTACTCAAGATTGCTGTGAGTCAGAAGCAACTCAAAGGCACATCACCATTACTACCTTTTAGGAACACTTAAGAGACCATGAGTTGTGTTTTCTGTTTAAACACCTAACTACTAAAATCCTTGTTGTTAAGTGTTGTTTAGTTGGTTCTGACTCGTAGCAACCCTGTATAGGATTTCCAAAGAGCAACTGATGAGTTTTAAACTATCAACCTTGCGGCTAGCAGTCAAGTATTTATCCTACAGTTCCACACCAGGACTCCACTACAATCCTAGATTTATTTCCACACCAATTTCATTAACTACATGTTGTTGTTGTTAATTGCCGTTGAGTTGGTGCCGACCCACAGCAACCCTATGCAGGTTTCCTTGGAGCAGATGGTGAGCTTGAACCGCCAACCTTGCGGTTCAAACACCTTTGCAGTATGGCGCGTTAACCCACAGCGTCACACCAAGACTCCAATTAACTATATAAACAGTCTATAATTATTGTATTTTCTAAAGAAACAAAAATATTTTTGAAATTGCTAAAACTTTGACAGAGACATAGTAAATCCTTTTTGTTCCCTAATGCATGTCCCATAATGACTGTGGTTTAGTTTCATCATCTATAAAAGGATGGGAATAAAACAGTAAGAAGGGGTAATAAGGAGTTCTGCTAGCATAGTGGTTATGAGTTGGGCTGCTAACCTCAAGGTCAACAGTTTGAAACTACCAGCTGTTGTGCTGGAAAAAAAATGAGGCTTTCTGCTCCTGTAAACATTTACAGCCTCAGAAACCCTCCGTAGAGTTGCTGAGTCAGAGGTGACTTCACAGCACATAACCACCACCACCACCAAAAATGCATTGGTTGTTTTTGTTAAGTGCCGTTGAGTCAGTTCTGACCCATAGTGACCAACCCTGTATAGGGTTTCGGAAGAGCAGCTGATGAGCTTGAACTGCTGACCTTGCAGCTGAAATGATTTTGCAATCCAGCTCATTAACCCACAGAACCATACCAAGACTCCAAAACAGTGGTGCTGGGGTTAATGCCCTAGACTGTAAAGTTGGCTTGAATTGCAAAGTCAGCAGTTCAAGCTCACCAGCTGCTCCTTGGAAACTCTACATAGGGTTGCTATGAGTCAGAACCAACTCAATGGTACATAACAAATCTAACAAAAGGATCAACTAAGATTTATGTGAGACATTAACAAATATTATTGTATTAAGGAATCCTGATGGGCAGTGGTTAAATATTTGGCTGGCTAACCTAAAAACAACAAACTAAAGGTCAACAGTTGAAACCCAGCAGTCACTCTGTGGAAGAAAGATGTTGCAGTCTGCTTCTGAAAAGATTGACAGCCTTGGAAACCCTATGGGGTAATTCTACTCTGTCCTACAGGATCTTGGACTTGGAATCTACTTGGCAGCAATGAGTTTGATTTTAATACTGTATCTTTCAAGAAGCATCATTGTCGTTTAATTTCTCTTTCCTATAATTCATTTTTCTTATAACAGTTAAATTATTTATGTAATGCATATACAACTCCAAAACAGGTAGCATAAACGAGTCTATTCAAGCGCTTTTTTAAAATATGGGCATTAGGCTAAAAATTTAGCATAGCTTAAGCAGCTTGTTCTTCACTGCAGTGCATGAAGTTATAAAACTGTTACTTAGTCTCCCAAGAAACTGAGTACGCCGTTAATAAGCACAAATAAAGACATAATACACTTTAAATTAACCGTTACAAATACTGACTTGGTTCACGTAATGACAACCCGTAAAGCCATAAAGGTAAAAGGTGTCCTGTAAATCCAGGTTTCATTAATAAAATAAGAGAATACGGAACAAAATAAGTCTGAATCAATAAAATCCATGAGTTAATATAATACACAGCCTCGAAAATCGGTAGATCCTAGGCGAGGACCAAAACAAAGGGAAGAACTTAGGTTTGAAAATGTACTTCTTTTGAACAAATGTTCAAAATCAAATTAGAAAAACTTACAACTTATTCCACATTGTTAGACTCGCCCACCCAACGCTGTCATTTAAAAAACAAAAATGCACCCTACATTAAGCTCACAAGTTGGCGTTCCAGGGAGACACCCGCACCAGTGACCGTAAACACCAGGTGCTTCCCCTTTGTTGTTTAACGATGACACAGCTTTCTTCCCGACGGTAGTCCACAACCTATTGCGTGTCAAGCGGCCAGTGCCGCCTCTCCCCCCGCCTAACCCCCAGCTCTAGACGGGCGTTAGGGCATCCCGGAGCGGGTGCTGGGGACAGAGGGCACCACCGGCGGCGTCGGGAAAAGGGGTCAGGGGCGGGTGAGCGGCTCCCCAGGTCCGAGCAGCTGCCCGGCTCTGAGCGCTTGAGATGAGGCCGGGAGAAGCGGGCGGGCCGGGCCGCGGTGTCCCAAACCGGCCGGGAGGCGCGGAGAAGCCCCGGCCTCCCGAAGCACCGAGAAAGGTGGAGAATTGGGGGTCTGCACAACCTCCGTGGGGGGACGCGGCAGGTTGCGGGGCGTCCCTGGGGCGCGGTCCAAAGCGCAGCCCCGGCTCTGTGAAGGGAGAGGGAGGGCAGACGGGCGACTGAGGTAAAGGGGTTGAAGGTAGGCCAGAGGGGGTGTCCCGGCCGCATCTTGGTCCCTGGTCACTTCACCTGCCACAAACACCACGAAGACCGAGCCGCTCCTCTTGGCCAACGCGATGGCGGCCGGAATCGAGCCCTGGAACCACAGCATCGCTCCTCTCAGGTCCAGGCGCTCGCTCAGTGTGCTATCGTCGCGGTCCCGCAGCCGGTCCCGCCCTCCCTCTTTAGTCTGGTCCCCGGCCCCCGCAGCGCCAGCTGGTCCGGCCCTCACTTCGGGTTCCACACAAGCGCTTAAGCCCGTCAGAGGCCCCGTGGGATACGCGCAGGCGCACGAGCCAGGCGCACGCCGCATCACGTGACTCTACACGTCGTCGTTAGCGGACGGCGCCAGCGTCTTGTCTCGTTGGCAGATTGGTGCATGCGCGCTACGGCTCAAGCTGGACCCTAATATTCCGGGAAGCAGAAGCCGTTGGTGAAAAAGATGACTAACGGCTATGGCTAGTGGCGGACTCTCCTGAAGCATGACGGGAATTGTAGGTCTCTTAAGGCCTGTTCTCCGCAGTTTGGGAAATGTGACTACATTTTCCGTGATAAAGAAGACAGTAGTGAGAGTCACTTTCCCCATTACTGCTGCCCCTTTTATTGGTGAAAGTCACTGGAGTCCTGGTATGGAACTGTAGGATAAGCACTGAACTGGTAACCTGAAGGTCTGCGGTTCAAACCCAACAGCTGCTCCTTGGAAACTAGATACAAAGTCGCTATGAGTCATAACCGACTGGAGGACACTAAAAACAGCAGCAGTGAGAGTCACTAAACCTAAGCTATAGAGAGGACAGAGAGTGGCACCCATTCATTGGAAGATGCTATTCTCGGCCTACCCTAAATGTAGAGGAAATCGACCCTGCCCCCAAAAGGAATCTGCCTATAGAAATTTATTATGATTTGTGGCCGTGGTGTGAGGTCCTAGCTACTTTCTAGATGATTTTGTTTTCAATTATACGTAATCAAGATAAGGCATTTTGTGGATGAACGCCATTAAAATGAAAACAGATGAGCAGTTTATGCTTTCGTGAACTAACATGGTCTCATAGATATTCGCCGAAGGCTTGTATGGTATATTTTAAATTTAATATTATACGTTCTATATCAATTTAATTTCTCTTCCAGCAATACAACATTTAATCATTTGTGCCGGGGACTGGCCTCGACATAGGAACTTGGTTCACCAGGAAGGGATACCTGGCGGCAATAGGTATAGCAAAAGAGACACAGAGACGCAAAGAGGGACAAAGAGACACCCCGAAACCAGGGTGGATGCTGGACTGGCATCAGGCAGATCCTGCATTGCAAACATCTCAGCCATGAAGGCCGTAATATCCTGCATAGTACACATCTTGGCTAAACAGGCAGTATGGTTGCAATGCTAGACTGAACCCCCTGCATGCTGTAAAGCACACCTTGCCTGTAGAAGTGCACCTGGTTTCCTTCTGCGCTTTCGTTTTATTTAGGGGAGGTACTTTACACAAAGCTAGGAGGGACTAAGACAAGGTACAGCTGTCAATCTTACTTTTTCATACTTTGCAGGTTCCAATCTCACTTGGTTTCTCAAGCTTAATTAACATACCTTTTAGCACCTAGTCTCAAATGGGGGGAGGAAAAGGAGGATTGGGAGGATTCCAATTGTGTCAGCTGCCCAGCCCAGGTTCTTTAGGAAAAGAGACGCCTGGGTGAATGGGCTGCACCTGGAAACACTTTAGGGAGGGCATTCCTATTGTCCTTGGAATAGAGACTGGGGGAGCCACCCAATTTACTTTGAATGAATTCTCTGAGGGAAAAACTTTGCCTGTTTGGAATTTTACAGTTTTGGCTTTTAGGAAAATATTACATTTATCTGTGGCTATCAAGGGCTTCATGCATGCAATTAATATAACTGAACACTAAGATGAAAAACAATTTGCTATGCCTGCCAGATAGCTAGAATCTGTTCCTCTGAGCCTGCGGCCTGCAACACTCGGGCCCTGTGGGCCTCAAACTTCTGACCAGGTTTACACGGTCTGCAACACATTTGTGGTATTAAGGAGATACAACTGAAACACTTCTTTTTTACATGTATACCATCAAGTTGATTATGACTTATGTTGTTGTTAAGTGCCGCCGAGTCGGTTCCGACCCATAGCCACCCTGTATAGGGTTTACATGGAGCAGCTGGTGAGCTTGAACCGCCAACCTTGCAGTTCAAATGGCTTTGCAGTCTGGCACATTAACCCACAGCGCCACACAAGTAGTGACCCTATATGGGGTTCCGGAGACTAAATCTTTACAGAAGCAGACACCCTCATCGTTCTCCCAGGAAGGACTGGTGGCTTTGAACTGCCAACTTACCTTGTGATTAAAGCCCAATGTCTGATGTACAAAGCCAGGAGGGTTCCTTACCTAAATGATGATGTTGTTGTTAAATACCATTGTTGTTGTTGCTAAGTGCCATGGAGTTGGTTCCGACCCATAGCCACTTAGTGATCCTATATAGGGTTCCAAAGGAGCGGGTAGTTGGTGTGAACTACTGCCCTTGCCATCAGCAGTCCAGGGCTTATCCAACAACCACATTGGGACTCCACATACAAGTGTTGTTGTTGTTGTTGTTAAGTACCCCCCGAGTTGGTTCCAACCCATAATAACCCTGTATAGGGTTTCCGAGGAGTGCCTGGTGAGCTTGAACCACCTACCTTTCAGTTCAAACCAAATGCAGTCCAGCACATTAACCTTCAGTGCTACGGTTTACCTTAAAAAAAAAATCACTAACAATTGCACTCCAATTTTTACTTACTTTTTTCCCAATCAGACTTCTCATAGAGTGCAGTTAGAAAATGAAATGTAATGCTGATTACTGTTGATGCTTATATAGGCCATCATTCCTCTGGAGAATGAGTTGATCTTTACTATCAACCTTAAATGGTCATGAGGTTCATTCACTCTATAAATTGTTCCAGTAGAGCTACATCTTTAATTATTCCCAACATTAGAATTAATTATTACACAAATCATTCGTAGCCCTTCATTTATCGAATGTATGGAGTACTGGAGAGATACTAAACTGGAGATTATAAATAGTTTTGGTACTGGAAAAAAACAAAACAAAACAGTAGGGATTTGAGGTGCCTTTACATACAGAGAATCATTGAGGCTCTGGAGGATGTTGTCCATAAGGAGACTGTGCAGAGTGAGGTCAGACAGTATAAAACTGAAGTATTGGGAAACCAGCATTTACAAGATTGGTTGTAAAGAAAGGAGACAAATTTTGAGTAGTAAAGGAGACTGAGAAAGGAAGGTTACTCAGGGTGGGAAAAAAGGCAAGAATTTGGTACCCAACAGACCAAGGTTGAAAGGGTAGAGAAGGAGGGGGTTAGAAGCAACTCGGTATGTTGAATACTTTTGTTGGGTCAAATAAATTGACTGAAAAAAATGTCTGCTGCTTTTCACAACATAGAGGTGATTAGTAAGCTTAGCAAGAACTGTTTCAGTGAGTTCTGTATAGAAGCCAGATGGCTGTGGGTTGAAGAGTAGGATGAATTTAGGAAGAGTTAGATGAATTTAGTAAGTGAGAAGGGAAAGAGAAAGAAAGAACCTAAATTGGATAGGGATTTGGATCAGAACAAGAGCCTTTTTAAAGATGTGAGAGACGTGTACAAGTTTAAATGCTGATGGAAAGGAACCAGTATTAGAGAGGTTGACTACACAGAGGAGTGGGGGACGCTATGAAGATGAGAGGTTAAGAGAGGTTGACTACACAGAGGAGTGGGGGACGCTATGAAGATGAGAGGTTAATATGGGCATATATATGGTAATGGAGTTCTGCTGTGGCACTGTGGTTTAATGCGCCAGACTGCAAAGCCATTTGAACTGCAAGATTGGTGGTTGAAACTCACCAGCTGCTCCTCAGAAACAGGGTTGCTACGGGTCAGAACCGAGTCAACAGCACTTTACAACAACAACATGTGGCAAATACAGTTGATAGCTCACTCAACAATCATTCATTCTCCACAGAAATCCTCATTATTCCTTGCTAGCAGAAGGGCCAAGGGAAATTGGGGCATTTCTAGGAAACATTTTCATTATTTAAAAAAGGCATATGAAAGAAAGCACAGCCTTTTTTGTTGGATGTGATTGTGTGCATTTGATGCCTGGTACAGCTGGAGCCACCTGTGACCATGAGGGGAGACATTGTGAACCCTCTGACTATGGCAGGATGGAATATGGAAAGCACTTGCATCTATGATGACATCACAGAGCTCCTGAACCCGCCCTGAAGCTAAGCCCAGCCTCCATACTTCTTGCTTTGTGAGATAATAGCTGTACTCAATGTTTAAACCCTCTAAGTTGGACATTGCTTCTATTCTTAAATTTTTATTATAAATTTGGGAAAGTTTTACAAAGCAAATCAGTTTTCCATACAACAATCCACACACATTTTGTTTCATGTCATTGATTACATTCCCCACAAAGTTACATGACTCCTTCTATTCCTCTTTGTGTTTCCGTTTCCATATCTCCTTCTTTCATAACCCTCAGAAACCCTAGTCAGGGTCTCTATGAGTCAGAAGGCACATAACTGACAATGTTCTACTATATTCATAGGCACATTTGCAGCATATGTACATACATACATATGTGAATGTACTGTCACACCTATATATATTTGTGGATTTAGCATCGTTCTCCTTCCCACACCTGTTCAGCTTGTGTGTCTATGTATTTATTAAACACATAGATTATTTTTTGTATCTAACATTTACCTCTGTTGCCTTTAACTCTTGTGCTATTTCCAGTAATTTCCTTTGCTTTGGTCATTTTTGTAGACCTCCCTGTTATTGTATATTGCTTTTCCCTTCACCTAAGTTATTTGTCTACCCTCTGTATAGTAATCCCGCCTACCCCAGTTGTTAGTTGTTAGGTGTCATTGAGTCAACACCAATTTATAGTGACCTTATGCACAACAGAATGAAACACTGCCCGGTTCTGTGTCAACCTCACAATTGTTGCTACACTTGAGCCTATTGCTGCTGCCACCCCTGCTAACCATCCAAGAATGCTGCTTTTTGTTTGAGAACCTTTTCTTGGCTTTTTATAATAGGTCTCATATAATATTTGTCATGTTGTGATTGACTAACTTCATTCAGCATAATGTCCCTCAGGTTCACCTATGTTATGTGATGTTTCCCAGATACATCATTGATACTATTGTTAGGTACCATTTAGTCAGCACCAACTCATAGC